GTAATAGGAGCAGCCAACTGGAAAATGAGACCAATAGGTTCTATTCTTAGTTCCATCATTAACCTTGGACATATTTTGTAACTTAGCTGGAGCTCTCCTTAGCTGCCTGTAAAGCTGAAAAAGTTATAAATACAGGGGATGGTTTTAGTAAGTAATTAAAATTCTGACTCTGAAGTGTAAAATGTTCACAGCACCTCCCAGAACTGCTGAGGGAAGGTCCTGCTGTGCAGGTGAATGCATGTGAGCTGGGTGCAGGGAGCGTGTTTGGGGCAGGTCATGTCCCTTGGACAGGACAGTCTCATTTTCCTGAAGGATTCCCTCTTTCCCTCCCTGCTCCCCACGGCTGGGGCAGTTTTCCAACAGTTTTCCATAGCTCTGTTCGGTGAATCCCAGAACCACGGATCTGGGAGGTGTCGCAGTGGTAATGAGCCGTGTGGTTGGGTGATTGTCAGCTTCTGTTACATTTTGGACAGATGGAAGCGCTTCAGACCCTGTCTGAGATCGCAGGATGAGGAAGGAGGAGGCTGAGAGCTCGTCTGCCATCAGGAGCCACCATCACTGCAATGTCACTCGGTGGTGGCAGCGCGTTGAGCTCTCGGTGCAGCTGGTGTGGACACTGTGTGTCTGCTGCTGGGGCAAGGGAGAGGGGCTTTAAAGAGCTTTAAACTGGGTCACCCAAGGGATTGTTGATGTGGCACCTCCAGGAGCTTCCAGTTGTGGGACAGAACGGGCACAGGTTGCCCAGAGAAGCTGTGGATGCCCCATCCTTGAACACCTTCAAGGCCAGGTTGGACGGGGCTCTGAGCAACCTGATCCAGGTGGAGATGTCTCTGCTCACTGTGAAGGGCTGGACAAGATGGGCTTTAAAGGTCCCTTCACCCCAAACCATCCTCTGAAATTCCCGAAATAACCTTGTTTAGCTCTTCCTCTGTGCTCACCCTGTGCTGGAAGGCTCCTGTTTGCTCTTTTTCCTTAATGAACAGACACTTAAAATATATTGGTGCTTCACATCCAGAGCTTCAGAGGTCAGGGCAGTTTATTGCCTTAGATTCTACTCTTTAAAGCAGATCATATAAATGATTCTGATGGACATACTGACCCATCTCACTGAAAGATGCCTCCTGAAGTGCCTGTTCCTGTGGGAACAGTGTGTCAGTCAGTGTCCAGGATCCCAAGTTCCATGTACTTGTTTCTCTTCTTAAGAATTTTGGGAAATTTTGTTCTGATAGGTTTGGTTTTGGGTGTTTTTTTTGGTGGTGTTTTTTTATTTTTTATTTTTTATTTTTTTAATGTCTTCCTGAGTTATATTGACCTTGAATTATTTGTCTGGGGGAGAGCACCTAATAACTGCCTTATTAATTCTTAATACATTTAAATAACTCCCTTCCTCATTTGGTAGAACATCTGTGTGGAGCTTTCAGAATAAATGCTGCATTTCCAAGCCTGTCACTTCTTGCTATTGCAATGATTAGTCTTCTGCTACCCCACTTGTCAGGAATTATTGATTGTTCAGCTTGGAGAGAGGCTTGACAGTTGGGAGATACACTTGGCTATTGGAATATTGGTTTATATTGATGTGAGTCCTGTTGGAAAAACAGCTGGGAAAACATCTGTCCCTTCAAAGGTACCAGGCAAACATAATTTGAGGAGGAAAACAATTTCTTAGGCAGTTTGTTCTGGTTCTGCAGATGTTTAGGGAGTGTGTTTGTGGCTTTTTATCGAGATGTTTTAAATTGTTTACTGCGAACCATTCACTGGGGGAGCAGATGGAACCTGGGGGGGATCTATTTGAGCTCAGGTTGAACCTTTTGGAACTTTTAGCACCTACAGAAGGTGTAGGGGCACAACAGCCACGAGGGGAGTGAGAGGGACTGGGAGGTGCAGGTGCCCTGCAGAGAGAAATGAGGAAAACCTGAAATGCAATTGGACATGTTCCCCCAAATAATCAGATTTTCTTCCTTTTGTTGTCAAAGCAAGTTAAACGTTGCCTTTTGTGGGGTTGTTTTGTTTTCTTCTTTTTCCAAATTAAAGTAAAATAGGGTAAAAGAAATCAAGACAAATGATCAGTCCCTGGCTGTTACAGCCAGGAAAGAAGTTTTGGCTCTGAACCCTTCTCTCTGGGAGGTTCAGCTTGAGAGAGCATCTTGAACTTTGGAAGTCTGGGGGTGCTGGATGCTCTGTTCCAGTACATCCTACCTGAATGTTTGTTTGGTTTTGTTTTCTCTCTCTCTCCCATCGCCAGGTTGTGACTCGACTTATTCACTTGCTGGGAGAGAAGATCCTTGGCAGTTTGCAGCAGGGAGGTAAGACTCATTCCTGGACTACTTGGACTTCCTTGGAGCCAGACTTACATTCCTAAATCTGGAAACAGCTCAGACTTGGAAAGAGAATTTGTCATTAAATTTTGGCCTGGAGAAGAGGAGGCTCCAGGGGGAACTCCAGGGAGAGCTGGAGAGGGACTGGGGACAAGGACACAGAGAGACAGGACAAGGGGGAATGGCTTCAAACTGCCAGAGGGCAGGGTTAGGTGGGAAATTGGGGAGAAATCCTTCTCTGTGAGGGTGGGGAGGCCCTGGCACAGGTTGCCCAGAGAAGCTGTGGCTGCCCCTGGATCCCTGGAAGTGTCCAAGGCCTGGTTGGAGCACCCTGGGCTGGTGGAAGGTGTCCCTGCCCATGGCAGGGGGTGGAACTGGATGATCTTTAAGGTTCCTTCCAACCCAAACCATCCTGTGATCCACAAGAGCTTTGGCACAAGTGGATGGGGATTTTATTATGTGTACACAGTTTTTTTTGGCAGAGCGTGGTTAACTAAGTGTGGGAAAGGAGTGATTTGCAATTGAGATAGAAAAGTGCTGCTGCCTGTGTGCAGTGAAATTTCTTTGGAATTTCTTGCAAGAGGAATGCAAAGGGAACACTGGAAATAGCAGCTGTAGTGGGCTGGAATCAGAGAGCTGTGCTCAGTGGCATCTGCAGAGAGACTGACTTAATATGCCTGTATTTGCATTATTTTAATGAATTGTCTGGGAGGAAAGGGTCTGCTATGGGTTGGTTCTGAAGCTTTGTGTTTGTGGCAGCACCAACTCCAAGTCTATTTACTGATTGAAGGGAGTAGGAGGAAATTTTCCCAATTTGCTTCAGCAGCTTTTAAGAGACACATGTTGACTACTGAGGGCGTCGTGGGGTTCCCTTTGCTGCTGGGGATTGTTTGGGTTTTCTTTGGTTGTGGGGGTTTAATTACTTTTATTATTTTATTGCTTTTATTTTTGGGGGGTTTTTTTGCAATATTCCAAGGAGACTGAAAATGGAGTCAGCGACTCTCCTGTTTCAGAGCAGTTTGGAGGAGGGAATCTCAAACTCTGCCCCTTCTTCACATGCTCAGCTCTCTGGGCACAATCAGCTGTGTGCAAATGCCTGCTGATACCTGTGCTTAAACCTCAGTGGCCTTGGGCAATCTGCCCTTTTTGGGAAATAGGGCAAAAATAGAGAAAAGAAAACAGGAGGGAAATTAGTGACAGTTGCAGGAGTTCAGAGATTCACCACTGAAGATCTGAGGAGGGAAGGGCTGGTGGAGATGAAGGGGTTGAGCTGTGATGTGTAACTTGTTTGAACCTACAAATATCTCCTTGAAGATCACCGAAAAGAGTTGGAAAAGCTGTTTCATGTTCTGTGCAGAGCTGTTTGAGAAGACTTGAAATGAATAACTCAATCGCTGAATATACTTGAAAAAAAAAGTTTATCTGATTTTTTTTTGGTGTGTCCTGCAGTGCACTGTCGCTCTGCCAGAGAGCCTTTGAATGGCTTCTCACAGGGTGTATCAAGTATTTCCATATGCCCAGCTCAAGAATTCATCTTAATGGTACATCTTGGGCCTTTGCTGGGTGAAATGAGATAAGCAGGACATGAAATCCCAGCTTGGATGTCAGAATTTATTGTGTACTTGGAGCTGAGTTGACAGGCATGAGCAGCAGAGTGAGAGTGTCTGAGAAGGCTCAGTTAAGGAGGAAAGAAAGAGTGTGAGAATAAAACCAGTTTGTAGAACATCCCCATCATTTTTCTGCTCTGAGCTATCTGGGAAGATCTTGATCTTGGTAACACTCACTGCACGCTTCTGCCAAAACCTGCTTCACTCTGCCCAGATCTCTGTCCTTATTCATCCTACCAAATTATACTGGAGATACTTCCCAGTTACTCTGCAGCTACTTCAGAGCTTCCATATTTCAGTTTAATGCTCCCCAAGCCCATATCTGTAAAGCTCTGCAAAAGAAATAAAACCAGGTAGAGATACACATCCCCTATAAGAACTTTGTTGGAAACAGGTATTTGTTTCCTTTCTCAAGAATGCCGTAAAAATAAACGGTGATTTTTGGAGTCTTTTAATTCTTTCAACAGATTTTGGGGTTTCTGTTAGTTAAGCTGATTCTTCTTGTGGCCTAAATCAGAACCTGTTCCAAAGATGTGGCTGTTCAAAGAGATTCAATTGTGTTTTTTATCTTTATCCTCCCAGGTCAGGTAAATGCACGTTGCATTTACCCTATTCCTGGCATCCAGATATTCATAACATTTGTGAGGAGGAGTTAGGCAATGTTATGTCAGCAGCCAAACATGATGGAAATTGATCTTTATCCTCTTACAATGAAATATGTGGGAACTCTCCATTTCTCTGGGCTTGAGCAGTTGGTGGCACTTCCCTTCCTGCCCAAAGGTGACATTTCATTGCTCACAGCCGACCTTGTGGCTGTCTGGGCTGACTGATGGCAAGTGCTCTCCTTCCCAACAGGTCACCCTCTTGGATTACACAGCTCCAGCAGCAAGTGGGATGCTGGGAATCCTGCCAGCAACCTGTCCACGGTGGCGATCATGCCGGTGTCCGAGGAGGTGCCACTGACGGCCTTCACCCTGGAGCTCAAACACGCCCTCAGTGCTGTGGGTGAGTGTTGTTTCCATCCTGCTCCATCGCACAGGAAGGAAATCCTGCTTGTCTTTTGAGAGAGGCACAACCTGTCAGGAGCCACAGGTGGGTTCCTGCTGCTTTAGAGGGGTGGCAGTACATAAAATGATCAGAGGGTTTGAGAAGTTCTGGAGAGACCCCATTGCAGCTTCCCAAATCCTTAAAAGGGAATATAAAAAGGAGGGAGGAGGACTTTTTATACAGGCAGATCATGACAGGACAAGGGGGAATGGCTTCCCACTGCCAGAGGGCAGGGTTAGATGGGATATTGGGAAGGAATTCTTCCCTGTGAGGGTTGGGGGCCCTGGCACAGGTTGCCCAGGGAAGCTGTGGCTGCCCCTGGATCCCTGGAAGTGTCCAAGGCCAGGTTGGACGGGGCTCTGAGCATCCTGAGTAGGAAGTGGTGTCTCTGCCTGTGGCACGTGTGTTGGATTAGATGATCTGTAAGATCCCTTCCAACCCAAAGCCTGTTTCATGGCTTCTTGCTTCTCACTTCCCATCCATAACGAGCGTTTAATCTTAGTGGAAAACTTTGTGGTCTTAATGACTCAGAAATTCTCTCCAGCCTGTCTGGCCCCGCTCCTTGGCTGTGCCCTCAGCACTCCCAAGGCTGCAGGGACTCCAGGAGACACATCCCACCCCAGGGCACCGTTCCCACAGCTCCTGCCTGAGAGTCTCATTCTCTCTCCAGCTCAGTGTGAGAGTTTTCCAGGCCCCCTCAGCTGTAAAGGTTCCCCCAGCAAAGGGTTTCTTACCCAGTTTTCTCCTGTGGAGGCAGCACAGTGAGTGGTAAGCATAAAACTTGATGGAAGAGGCTTGTGGAAGAGATCCAGGTTGGCACTGGAAGTCCAAAGTATAGTCTGAAATCATTGTCTCGTCTGCTGCCAGCTTGTTTGTCTGTCTCATGCTCACAAACCCATGTATTCAGCTCACAGTTGAGTCATTAATTGCTTTACCCATCGATGAAGCTGCTTGTGCAAGTTCCAGTTGCTCACAAAACCATGTATTTAATTCAGAATTCAGTTTGCACTTATTAATAACGGTTTGACGTTCCCTGAACATCCTCATATACTGTCCCACCTCTCTTGAGTGAATCTCCCATAGTCCTTTAATGAATTGTTAGTTTGCTCTCTCGTGGCTTATGATTTTTAAAAGTACATGTGAGGTGATGCTTGAGGTGCACTTGTTGGTTATTTCCATTTTGGCCTTGGTGGTGTCTGGAGCTGGCACTGGTTATTCTGCTTAAAAACCTTCTGGGTGAGCAGGCCTGGGAGGAAGCTGCTGATGTTTGAACTCTTTAACCTTCTGAAATCTGAATTTGTGTGCAACTTACGGCGGAGGGTTCCTCTTCTTTTGAGGTGGCAGAAAAATGTTGCCTCCACTGGAGAGCCCAGCTCTCTGTCAGAGCTCTGTTGCTAATGGGGACTCCTTAGGGATCATGGCCAGCTTGTTTTGATGTGTGACAGCACGGGGAGCCTGTAAATAAAACAAACAGAAACCCGAGTAGGCATTGAGCTGTTTGAGCTGTGCCAGAGGGGGGTTTGGTGGGGCCACTCTGGGGGTGCTGGGCACCCTTGGCACCCACAGTTCCTGCCAAAGCAGAGCAGACGGTGCAGTGGGAAGAGGAAAAAGTGTTGTGGGAAAACACAGCAGGCCGTGCGTGTCCCCACCCCGTTCCCACCCCACTGACAGCCCCGGCCCCATCGCAGCATCCTGCGGGTCACAGAGCGCAGCTCTGGGCAGTGTGCAGGGGCTCTGCAGCTGCTGCTCTCCCCTCTTTCTCCTCTTTTTTCCCCCCTCTTTTTTCC